AAAACAGAAGATCCAATCAATGAATTACTCTGCAGTCAATAAATCTTCAGTCAGTATTGATACTGATCTGCCAGTGCCTAAGTGGAGCATTGGGTGTCTTCTAGGACATGATCTGTGTTCATAACAGGGATGTATAAGTGCTCCTCAGATTAATTCAGACATGGACCAAATTATTTCCACAGTTTTGGGGAGAAAACACGTTCCAAGAAAATATGAGGCAAAAATGACATCTCGCTAGTTTACCTCACCTTCAATGCCTTTTCCTTCATTTACCTGACCATACAGAGTGGGAAACACTTCCCTTCTCCCCACTGTAAGTAGACTGGTGCTATCAAAAGAGCTGTTGGGAAGTCAACAACTCCCAAGAGTCACTCTGCTCCTCTCCTCCAGAGCAAAGGAGAGGGGGGTAAAAGCATATTCTACACTCATACCACCACTGCTGGCCAGGTAAGCAAAAGGGAAGGCAAGGAAGATTTGGAATGTAAGGCCTCAGGTGTTCTTAGGCTGGGAGGGTGATGGAGAGGGAAGCCTGGAATTCTCTGCTGGCACAAATTTACTCTGAGCTAGAAAACTACTATGAATTTATGAATTTATTTGCTTACTTTAGAGGCTTGCACAGTGTACACACCTCTCGATTCAGGCTTCTGCAAGTCCTTGAAATTCTTAGCTTACTCCAGCTAGAAGTTCATTTCATTTCTACACTGCCCCATGCCCGAGCCTCTCTAGCAGATTGCAGTTTGGTTCAGGCAGGACAGTTTAGATTACTTTGCCACACTTAAAGGTGAGATACAACATGCGTGGCCAACGCTCTGCTTGAACCATACTGGTCAGTTCCAGAATCCCCTGCAAATGCTCTTTGATTGTAGGGCAGACAAGATGAGTTGGAAGCCATTCCTGAAAAGGAAAAAGATTTAAAACCACTGTTTGTTTTGGCAGATTCTGATCCTCTCACCTGGATCACAAGCTTCAACTGCATGGCAGTGACTGGGCGAAAGCAGGGTCTCAAACATTAATGGAGAGCGACTAGGAAGTTGACTGCACATCTTTTTCAGTAACGGGACCCCCCTCTTAAGAGCTATGGTCCTTTCAGTTGACATGAGACGACATGGATAATTTAAGACTGCATCTCTCTCTTTTTTTCAATACATCCTTTTGGGAGACAGAAAAGAAACTACTGTTGCCCTTTGTAGGTTTATTGAGTTATTCCCAGAATGAATTTCATTCCATATCAAATGGAACCGTGTTGTCTCATGTCAGCAGAAATGATTCACAAGACTCAGCCTTGAGAGTAACTAAAGTAATATTTAAGTTGTGGATTTGCCAGTAGTCCACTTACAGAGTTTTTGCTGTAGGCACAGATTTTTCCTCATTTGATGGGTTCTATCAAACACAAAGGGTGGGGGAATTATGCAAGAATTCTAAAATTGTGGGAGATAGAATCATGCATGTATGGTAGCTGACAGAGATGAAACTGTAAACAGGAGAGAGCTGCTTCAGCATTCCTGAAATAGTGAAGAATATGATGCTACAACTGGAATCCAGTTTCCAGCCTGCCATTGCCCTCCTGGGCACTTTAAGTCTTTTATTGGTGTTATCATGACTTAAACACATTCGGAAGTAATAGTTTGATGGAGTTAATTCTTTGTTTAATATCCCTAGCTCTCCTCCCAGAGCTACAGCTTCCCTGGAGAGCAAGAAGGAAAGGCGATAACAGTAAGTCCCACGTCAAGGGTAAGCACAGTCAGGCACTTGTCAGGGTTTTATTAATTAATAAAAACTTTTTTAGACCGTCCCTTACCGTAGTCTTGGGGTGGTTTAACAGTAGGACAAAAATAAAACAAAACACAGCATCCCAATCAAATGCTTGACCAGTCAGCAATAAAAACCATATTAAAATAACAATCAAACCTTAAAATACTGGGAAAATAAAAAGGTTTTAGCCTGGTGTCAAAAAGAATAAAGTGATGGTGCCAGGCAAACCTCTTTGGGCAGTGTATTCCACAATCAGGGCTCACCGCAGAGAAGAACCCCAACCCTCCCAATCTCCTTCAAGGAGGGCCCCCAGAGAAGGGCCATTGCCTCAGACCTGAAGGGGCAGACAGGCACATATGGGTTCGCTCACAGGAATTCCCTCAACTCACTCTTCTTCTTCCCTATTGCCACCTCCTTGTTTTCCTGACTCTATCGTTCCAGCCCAAACAATTAGAAGCTGTAGATGTCCCTGCCTGCCTGGTTACTGGCTTTCTGCTTGTCAAGCAAACACATGGTGGTCAGCTGTGATGAGGAAGATGATAAGACGGAACAAAGGCAGCTGATACCAATGCTTGAAAGACTCTCACTGAGCCTCATTGAAAGTGACTTGTGCAAGGACCCTCAAAACTCTGGAGCACGCACTAGATAACATGATTTGCCCTGCCAAAGAGCTTTATTCATGCACATTCCAGGATCTTGGTGCAACTGGACCAAAGGGAAACTGATCCTGTACCCTGTGCATATAGGTCAGCAATTCATCAGCCACTTAGCTTTTTGATACCATTATGGAAACTGTCTAGACAGCCATGTGGCTACAAGATGGTATACAAAAGTGCTAAATAAATAAATAAATAAATAAATAAATAAAATTGCCCCTCTGACTTTGCACCAAACCAAGACAATTGCTGCTAGAAGTTCCTTTTCGGCTCCGTGTACCATCTTTTACCGGTCCAGAATATTAGGCTTGGATCACCAGACAGAGTGAAAAGAGAGACTAAGGTGCATGGGAATGCCATATAGCAACCATTCTGAGCATTTGCCTTGAATAACATCAAGACCCTTGGCGTGTAGCACATCAACAGACCTGTGCCCATATATGGGCTTTTGTGTCTGGTTTTTCTTTATGGGTGTGTGTATTCAAAAAAGAACCCATCCTTTTTGGTAGCTGGGAATATAAATTGTCCAAATTAGACTAGAAAGTTGGCTCCATATCAAAAAATGCCAACAATGTCTGAGTCACCATATACTGGGAGTGCAACTGGCAGTGAAATAATAAAGGAATGGAATAATAGGAAGCTTGCACTGGGGCCAAAATGTATTTGCCAGCCAGCTTTCAGTAGCACACATCTGTCAACTAAATTTGATTTTGCTTGTGGATTTATAAATTAAATATCCAGTTAAATTATGTCAATTAAATTATGGTTCTAAACAGTGAAAAAAGGAGGGTGAAGGAGCACAGATAGCAGCAGAAAGCTAATAGAGATTCTGTACCTAGCTTATAAAACAATACTATGCACTTGCACTGAAAATGTGGGCCTTTCTTCTGAGTAGACACATACAGAATTACATTGTTAAAGAGTATTTCCACCAAAGGAACTTTTAGTCCTTTAGTCATACAGTCTTTGCCATTGCATTTTTGATACATGAAGAAGGACTGGAATGAGGCATGTTAAGCATGATTATTAATTTGAATATCTGGAAGGCAACGTGATTTCCATTTCTGATTTATATCTTCTGCAACATCAGGAGGGAGTTTCACACAGGAAGTAGTTCAACAGAGCCAAAGTGTATGCCTGGACCGCTGCTGTTTCACTGAATATTCCACACAGGAGAGAAACCATACAAGAACCTGCATTGGTCCGGAAATTTTGGACATGAGCAAGCTCTGCAAGTACATTGAAAAAAACCACCTAAGCCAGAAACCATTGAAATGTGTGGATTCTGAGAAAGCTTTATTAATAGTTCAACCTTGATAATACACAGGCATCCCGTGTGTGTAGTGGTTACAGTGTTGGAACTGAGAGGCCCAGCTTTCCATTCAGCCATGAAGCTCACTGGGTGACTTTGGATGAGCCACTGAGTCTCAGCAGGTTGTGAGAATAACATGGAGGGGAGAGGAAGGGGTAAGCTACCTTGAGTTCTTGAAGGAAAAAGATGGGATATTAATATTAGATGAGCAAGAGCTGTATAGAATGCATAGGAAAACTGCAGGAGAAAAGGAGATTGCCAAACGAAAACCACAGCCACTTAGCTGTGGGCTGACTTAAATAGATGAGAACACTCAAAGGAAAAGTACACTATGGTATGATAGCAGCCTCAGTAATTCTTGCTAAAATGTAAGATGCGCTGTTGCTACAACAGATACCTTGCTGCAGCTGCTCGGATACCTTGGTCAAATAGGATGATGGGGACACAGGCAGGCACAGAAGCATAGGAGAGATGTACACTAACACCTTATCCTGTTCTTTCAGAACACAAGTACGCAGGGCCACTGTGGTGTAGCAGTGAGAGCACTGGACTGAGACCTGGAACATTTGAGTTCGAGTCCCCACTTAACCAAGAAGGTGAGGGCACATGAAGCTTTTTGGCCATGAAGCTCATTGGTTGACACTCAATCAATCTGGGATTCTTAGCCAAGCCTACCTCACAGGGTTCTTGTGATGATGAATGAGAAAGTAACTGCCTTCATTTCCTTGCAGGAGGGTAAAAGGGTAAAAACAATAGGCTAAAGACAGGACAGAACTCTAGTATGAATTAAGAGGTGGAAAGTCTATGCAGTTGATTGACCTGGCCAAGGAATTCCCTACCTCCTTTATAATTCAATAGAGACAAAAAAAGGAAAAGAAAAAAAGAAAATTAACTATGCATCAAAACTCAGATCTATTTTTAGATCTATTCCTGTCTCTATAAGGAAATTCTCTGCTTTCAAATACTCTCTTGTTCTTTATTGATATTTGTATTAAGAAATTTGCTTCGAGATTTTTCTTTATATTGAAGAAGACAGAAGGAAGACAAAGAACTGCAAGTCAATGCATTAGCAACTGAACATTTCTTTTTAATCATTTTAATGCATCTCTATACTATATTTATGAATAATACAGATTACTTTTCTCTCCAGCACCCTCTTCCTAATTAGACTTACGAGGGAAGAATGAGGGAAGAATTTCTAGTATGGATCGGCAAGGTGGAGCCAAGAGGAGCAGTTGCGCGCCTCGTCTGAGCGCCAGGCGGCGCTTCACTTCTTTCCGACTCTGCTGCGACGGTTGTTTGAATCCTCGGCGTCTGCGGAAGGAAGTGTGGATGGAGCTCGGTGTGCAAGGCTTGACAAGCGGAACTGGCTGCTGCAGCTGCGTGTTGTAGAGGTCTTTTTGTCCCCCATTTCACGCCAGCGTAAGCCGCTTGCGGCAAGAAAACGTCTGCAACGATTAGTCGCCCTTGCCAAGGGAGACGGCGACAGGAACCGCTCGCCGCGCCTCTCTGCTCTCGAAGGGAGGGGCGGACGATGTTTTCCGATGGCGCTCGAAGAGTGTTAGCTGCTCTCTTTGCCTGCCAGTGGGGGTACAAAGGCGCTTTTGAAGCATTTCTCATGCGTGCCACTAACTTTAATTTTGGTCCCGCCTCCTGTATCTATTATTCAAGTGCAAAACTTAAACTTGGCAGCTTGTGCGGGTCTACCTGTATGTTTGCATCATTAGAAATGATTTCCCTATGATTTTGTTCTATGTGTGGCAAGCGAAAAAGCCTCTTTAGCGAAGTAACAGGTGCAAGCTGTGCAAAAAGTGAGACTTTCTTTGCTTCTTTCCCAGGTTTATTCTGAGCATTATTTTCAGGTGCACAAGCATCCGGTGCAATCTCCGCCCCGTCCCGAATGCATGAGTGCCCTTGAGAAAGTTTCGAATGGAAAACAATAAAAAGATGAAACTCATCTGCCCAAACTGCACGAAACCTACTTTCCACTGAACAATTTGGTTTTGTTTTTTTTACAACTGCACAAAATGTGATCAGCTGGACATTACAGGTCTGTAATGTATTAGTAAAAACTACAGTGCTGAAAATAAATACTCGGTTTCTCTAAAGCATTCTGTCGTTATCATCTTTATTTGCTCGTGTCTTCCTGATTAAAATGTTTATCTTCTGGAGCAATTAGATTGATTTATCTATTTATTAATAGATAGTAGTTGAAGGTGGAATGCAAGCAGACAAAGCAAACAAAGGGTACATTGTCCTGTTAGCTTTCACTTACATTTTCTTTGATCCTTCTGTTGCCTCGCCTATATTGATTTTTAGCTTTTAGTGTGTAAGCTCCTCAAGGTCAGAGACCTATCCCTTTCTTGTTGCTCCTTAAAATGCCATGCACATTGATTGTACCACGTATGTAACAGCATATGGTATGAGTATTTTCTATGAAAAATGCAATCCTAGGCATGTTTGCTCACTGCATTCAATGGAACTTGCTGGCTAGGAAGTGTGTTTAGGATTGCAGGTTTACTTGTTTAAAAGTGTGGCCTTCTGGTTCAAACATACTAAATTTACTAAGATAAAATTGCAAAAGGTTGCAAAAAGAGATAGAGCAGAAATATAGGGGAAATTATGAACTTTGGCAAACTATAGAAAATCAGGAAGAACAGTAAACTGAGGTTATACTGCTGGGAAAGAGAAAACAAAAGTGTGACTCTAATACTTTATGATAAAGGAGGAACTAGGCAAGTTCTTTTGCAGCCTCCCCCTATCTTATGGATGGCAATTTATCCCCAGTAGTGATAAGCCCTAGGACTAGTTGGTTGAGTCCAAGTCTGCAATCCTATGAACTGAATGAGACTTACTTCTGAGTAGTCATGGGACTGAACTGTAAGAAAGAGATGAAGTCTAAAATCAATTGTGAAAATAAGCCTAGATGCTGTGAATTATAAAACTGGGATTGAGTTTTTAGTTGATTAAATATGACGACAGTTATGTTTTATCAAACATTGAGGAACTTGAGAATAATCTTGCGGTGTACACCTTGTTAGACGGTGTAAACATGAGTGCAGTATATGTTGTATATTCATCTAGAATGATAGATAATATCTTGAGACTGTGTCCCTGAGGAGGGAAGGTCTGGAAAGTTCCATAGATGAAATAAGGATGTTGAGATAGTCACTAATTTGGCTATCACTTAGGTTGCAAAGAAGCACATTTTCCTGGGAGCAAGCTCTATGGAACTCAATCAGACTTCTGAGAAAATATGCATAGGATTAATTTAATTAGCTAATTTTAGCCATAATTTTGAATGTATAGCAAAGGAATTCAAAGTACAAAAAAGTAGCTCCTGATTATTTTAATTAATAAGAATTATATCTAGTGTTGTCTAACTTGAAGTCCCATTCATCTCAATATGTTTACTTTAAGTTGAACTAATGTTGGATAAAACCCTTGTGCGTTTATATTTGGAGTAAGTGCAACAGTGGTTGTGAGCACAGAATCAGATGGCTAGGGAGAAGGACTCATACCATAAATGGCAAGAGGCTTTTTTGTCTGTTTCCAATGACTGACCTTTGAAAGTGTCTGAAATAGCTCACTTGATTTACAGCATCAACAGAATGTGATTTTAAAGCCCATTATAGTATTAACTGATTAATACTATTATATCTATGCTTATTGTTGTGAACTGCCAGAGGGATGTGGCTAATGGGCAGTATCGAATGAAATTAATGTTGCTGCTAATAATAACAACAATTTAAATTTTCTGGTTGATCTGAGATTCCTATGTAAAGGTGGGTAAATCCTTCTTTCCCTGTTAGCATTCATCTAACCTTTGTGTGCCCTCCAGCTCTTTGACATTAGAGTAGCTAAGTCTCAGCAAACTGCGACTCCATCTGTGCAGCACAACACAAACTCATCAAGAGAAGCAAGGAAGGACAATGAAGGCCCAGGATGAGATTGTAAGTGGAAAGAGGTTAGATGAGAAGGAAAATGAAATACCACTAAGGAAACATTGCTAGCGGCATTCCATGTGAGACTTTTTATTTTTCAGCTTGAGATACTATGATTATTTTTTCCCCAAAATGGATGTGGATTCAATTAGTACAGTTAATGCTTACTAGCTGTTTTCACACAGTTTCCCCAAGGCTTCCTCCTTTCCAAGCTGTGCTGTATTCAATTCACTTTCTATAAAAACTGTCTCCTTTGTTTCATTGTTTGATATTTGTGTAGCTCCTATTTGTATGGAAGTATGTATCACACTGTGCTTATGGTTGGAAAGCTCCAACACTGCTCAAATGAGTTGTTTAACTGTTTGCAGCTCTACTCTTGCCAGGAAAGGGGAATCTGCCAGTTTGGTTAGAATTAAAACTAGGCAGAGGGTCAGGATGAGGACTAGCACAACAAGTTCCAGGGTGAAGGAAAGTGAAGGGAAAAGGAGCTCAATGGCAGGAGGTAGAAACAGGGATTCTGAAGAGTAAGAATCCTAATGTGAAGCTGGACTGTATGCTGTGGGTGGTGCAGTTAAGACAGGAATGCTGGGAAGGCAGCTGGTTAAGGGACAGAATGGCTAACCTAAGTAGTTGCTAGGTACAGACCCCATTTTTTAAAAAAATAGCACTATAAAGACACACGACAGCCCAAAGTTTCCAAAAGCAGCCTGGAAACAAGAGGGTGAATTTCACATACTGATGAACAGCCAGATATTGATATTGCACTTGTAGTACAGTTACAACTTACTGCTAACTTCCTCAAGTAACCAGTTTCATCACCATAACAAGTTGTGCAGCCCCCCAGCATACGTTCCAGCAGCCTGTCGCCCTCTAGCTGTGAGGGCGTGCAAGTCCCATCATTGTCAGGCTGCGTGGTCAATGAGAACTGCAGCCCCACACACCTGGAGGGCACCCGGTTGGGGAAGTCTGCGTTACCGGCTCATTTGGGGGGAATGAAAGGTTCCCTGGCGGAATTCTCCCTCCAAACTACAACTCCCAGAATCCTATGAGGGGGAGGCTATGACGAGCTTCAACCCGCATGAGTTTGTAGTGCGAACGTCTCCCAACTTCCCCGAGGGTCACTGCCGTTTGACAGCGCAGCCCCTCCCTGGGGAGGGCAGCGGCCTTCCGCGCGTGCCCCGCGCTGGGTGCCTTCCCGCCGCCGGCCCTCCCCCACCGGGGGCTACGAAGGCCGCTCATGCGCGCCTGCTCTCCTTGAGTCCACTGCGGCGCCAGAGCGTTGGCAGCCCCTCCATGCGTCTCCGGGGGCACTCGCTCTGTGTCATCGGGCTGAGTAGGTTCCGCCCCTCCGCCGCTGCCGGGGCGCTCCGACGGGCGGGGGGCGTCAGCGGGGTCCGCATCCATCTGCCGCCGCTCGGGGAGCGCCCTTTCCGCGGGCTTTGCCGGGTTCCGCGCTCGAGCCGAGCGAGCCCAGCCAGCCGGCGGGAGACGCAGCGCTCGCCTTGCACCGCCAAGTGAACGGAAGGCACTGAGGGCGGCGGCGTCGCCTTCCTCCCGCCGTTCCCACCCCGCCTGCCTTGCAGCCGGCGTAGGTTCAGAGCAGCCCACCTCTCGTTCTTCGCCATCCCCAGAGCTACGGGGAGGAGACTCATCCGCTAGCCGTCGTGCAGCCGAAACGAAGCACGACAAGGCGCCGCCGGTGCGAAGAGGAGCAGCAGTGGAAGCCAGACAAAGGGGAGACGGAGAGGGAGAGACCGAGAGGTGCCCGCGGGGTGAGAGGTGAGTGGCAGCCAAGAGCGAGCCTTTTTCCGCGCGTCCGCCTTCTCCCGTGTCTCTCTCGCCTGTTCGCGTCTCATGCATGGCTTGTGGGGGTGGTGGCGAGACCAGGTAAGCGCGCGCGCGCTCGCTGGCTTCGAGCAAACCGGCCACCCACCTCCCCCGCCCCGCAACCCCGCAGCAACCAGGAGCCGCTGAAGGAACAGGGGTGCTCTGGCTCTCCCCAGCTCCAGGCGAGAGAGGACGCTGCAAAGGTGGGCAGCCGGGGGAAGTCTCGTGGCAGCCCGCGGGGAGCGGCGCTGGAAGCGAGAAGGTGCTCTTGCGAGGCGGGGGAGTCCCGCCCGTGCGTATCCGCAGCGGCACGGAGTGCGAGGCCTCCCCGTGCCTGTCGGTACCAAAGCGCCACTAGTCCCCTGTTCCATCTTGAAGAGGAGATCAGGGTGCTACGGTGGGGTGTAGTAGCAGTAGCTGTTGTTGCTTAAAATTATTTCTCTGCTCCATGGCGCTGCCCTTCCTTCCTTCCGAGGAAAAGGAGGGGTGCTGAATGGGAAATAGCCGGCAAAGAACGTGGAGTCGAAACGAACCTTTCGGTCGCAAAGGGGAACGCACTCTCACGCCGTCTCGCTCTCTGTCTGTGTGTGTGTGTGTGTGTGTGTGTGGCCGGCTGAACTAGCTAGGGATGTTTTGTGAAGGAAAGGTCTGAAATAGGATGCGTGTTTATACTTCTGCCATCTTCTGCAGAAGCTTGTTTGTACCTTTGCAGTTTATAAAATACAGAGGTTGGTGTCATATCTAAATCCTGGGATTGGCTAATGGATCAAGCAAAGGACCAAAACCCTTTGCTCTTCCACTGAAATAATATATTGTACTTTGGTGCTTTGTTTTTGTTTTTTATGGAGTTTCAGCAAAAGGCACCTGTGCACGTTATTTTCCCTCCTCTTCTTCCTTTTTATTTACAGTGGCTCAATATGCCGGATGTCAGTTCTCCTTCTAGCATAGGTTTTCTTGTGACCATATTGATGCTTTTAATCAGAAATGCTGCCTGGTCAATGGGGGGAAAGACCTTTCAGTACTGAGCCTCTTGTACTTGGAAGAAGTGGAAAGCATCAACCATTTCATAATTTTGAAGACATGGCTCTGGCTCTGCATGTGTGTGAAAGAGGAAGGTGGTGCTTTGAACAGGTTGTTCGGTGTCAGTTATTTCCTGGGCTGAAGGACAAATGGAGGCTTTACTTTTTTTTTTCCTTGGGAGAGAGGGTGTGGTGACTGCTCTGTAATGCAGCAGTACTGACAGTCCATGTAAGCAGGACTTTGGGCTGTGCATGTGTAGAAAAATATCCCTGCGTCCTCTTCTTGTGTCTTGCAGGGAAGGAAAGGCTACGCTGGGCTTAATTTTTGTTGATAATTTCCCTTATCAAAACAGTATGCTTCTAAGACAAATATGATAGGAGTGGAAACAAGCTAGTAGTATGTGTCAGACTTCCCCATAAAATTAATTGATAAGTTAGATGCTATGATTTATGATTATAATCAATATATATTCATATATGAAGTTATTTTAGTATAAATACAATAATTATGAAGTGAAGTGCAATTTGTTTCTAGCTGACTTTAAAGCTTCAGTCTTCTGCCACACATTTACGCTGTGTATATTTACCCAGAAGTAAACTTCCACTGTGTTTAATGGAGCTTATGCCCAGGAAAATGTGTTTAAGATTGCAGCTTAGCTTTTTCTGATGGATTTTATCTGTGCTGATGATTTCCCCAGGCTGCAAAATATATAGTTTCTAGTTTGTAAATGAACAATTTAATGTAATTTTAAATATAAGTATGCACACACACACACACACACTGCCCAGTAGTTCCAGATATTGGCTGATGCATGAAGTGAATATGCTTGAGAAGACTTACCTTAGAAGCACATATATGTTAAAATTCAATAACATGGACAAATCTTCAGGTAATTGTAATGTACCTGCTACTCTGATTTAAAAGCAGAAGCAGTGAAGCAGGTGGTATTTAGCTAGATATTTTTTTAAATTTTGAGTTCATGTTTTTACTAAGGATTTTTACAGCAGAAGGATTTATGTAATTATGAATATTTTGCCTGCAACCATTTCCAGATTACTGTCCGATTGAAAGTTATATAGAGTGATACGAGTGTAGGCCAACATATGTTTGCAGATGGACATGGTTGCACCAGGTATGCTCTTTTTTGATCAGTTTATTTATTAGGAAGCTGTTTTCTGTATCAATTTCTTAACACTTGTATAGGGATGAAGGCAGAATTCATGGGCATGGCTGCTTGCATGTTATGAAACAGATGATAGACCTGCACAATTCTGAGACTTAGAAATTGTGTTCCAGTTTGTGGTGACTTCCTAGATCATGATAGTGTTATGCTGGGGTTCCACTGCAGCAGGGCATTTTAATCTTTTTTTCTAGTGATCCTTCCTGGAATAGCTAAGATGCTATATCTATTGAAATTTGCTCTTGTTCTGGAGTCAGACAGATCTACAGAAGGAAGTGGGGAGGACAGCACCAGAGTGTGCATTAATGGTTGATATTTTAAATACTTTAATAAGACTATGTTATTATACTCACAGTCAGCTGCATCTTCAGCTTTCACTGTTGGCAAGTCTTCCTGTTTTGCCCTTTCTCACCATGCTGTGCTACATCTATTGCTAACATAGAAATATTAATTTATGCTTCTGTAATGGTGTCACATCCTGGTTTCTCTCATGCCCCAATGTGAGGCCCCACAAATTAGTACACTGCACTGGTCTAGCACTGCTGTCCCATCTTATATGTTTGCTTTGTTGGCATGCTTTTTCAGTAGCTTAGCTGTAAAGGAGAGAATATAAAATTAACTGCTAACCTAGGACTGGCCCAAGCCAAAGGATGACATGCCCACCACCCACCTCCATACCAAAGCCGACTAGATTGGCAACTTAAACTGGCTTCAGTATTAGCCACAGGATGGTATCTTCCATCATGCCTGAAGGCAGCAGGGCTGCAGCAGGCTAGGTCAATGGGCCAAGCCAAGCAGGAGATGCAGCTCTGTCCCCCAAGAGCAGACAATGGTTAGTGGTCTCAAGAGCACCTGGGTACTGCCATCACTTTTTCCCAGCATCTGCCATCTGAGACAGTTGCTTCTGTCTGCTGATTGGTTAGGCTGGTCCTGTGTTAAGCTGAGGCTCAGTTTGTACATCTTAGCCCTCGTGCCCCATGTTTAGAACTCTGCAACCAAAATAATTACTTCTAATCCTTCAGTCCCTGTGAAAATGCCAGACTGTACTTAAATCCCTGTACTGGCTTCCTGTCAGCGCTGGATCCAGCATAGTCCTTTCATCCTTACCTTCAGCCTCTTCCATGGGCTTGCCCCTCTTAGTACCTTGCTTATATCCTAATATGCCCTTCTATTTTCCATCATCAGCAGTCCCAAGATCTTCCGCCCGCTTAAACAGCTCCATACGCACTACCCTCTTTTTGTCTGACTTAGAGTCTATGCCACAGGTGGCAATTTGTGGCCCTCTAGAAGTTTTGACCTACATTTTTCATCATACCTTTGCTTTGCTGTCTAGGACTTATGGGGGTCGTAGGCCAAAACAACCTTGGGACCACAGATTATTCACCATTCATCTATGTAGTGCCACTTTTTCCTTTCAGATATTTTCTTAAAACCTACTTTTTCTGTGACCCACTTTTTGTCAAAACTCCTGAGCTTCCATCCCCTGGTGAGACTTAACCCCAGTTATGTGCAACTGAAAAATCTCTCTTTCTTTTATACTTCAGCCACTTCTGTTAAGTAAGTCTTAGATTCTAAATTCCCTTTTTGTTCTTTCTCTGCATAGTTCTGTGCATGTCCATAGTACTAAGTAATGATGATGATGGCGGTGGCTTTAGTATGTGGTCACAATTTTGATCCTTGGATTATCCTGCTCATTCAGTTTCCATCCACTAAATGAAGCTTTATAGGTTGACAATCAATATTGTATAACTGCCCAAATAGTTATAATTTCTTATTTAATTTTCAATTACAAAGTGACTGTATATTCACCCTAATTTCAGCTATTTTTGAGTGTACCTCTGGTAATGTCAACATTGACCACTTCTTAATTATTCTACAGTTGTTTCATTTTGTTTAGGTTTTAACTGACGTTTCCTCCTTTGCTCAGACATGCTGTGTTAAGGATAAGTGTTGGAATGTGATAAGGTTGTTAAATACTATACTACTTTATAGTAAGTTCTTTTAAATTAAGGAAACACTTCCTCAGTTGGGTCCAGTATATACAGATGGATATATACAGCGTAACTTGTCTCCTTGGCTGAGAAATATTAGGTACATGGTTAGCAGTAGACATATGTGTGGACTTTTTTTGGCAATACCTATTATCACCAGAAAACAAATATTTCTTACAGTGCAATCTTCTGTATGTTTGCTCAGAAGTAAGTTTTACAGTGTTCAATGAAACTTACCCCTGAGGAACTTGATCCAAAAATTAGTTACCTCAAGAAAACTAGATCAACATCAAGGTTGTTTTCACAGACTTCATATGCAGCCATGTAATCTGTTAAACCAACTGTTTAGCCTTGTCAGAAATCCTTAATAAAAACCTTTTCTTTTGACAGCTTTTAAACGGAAGTCCTTGTGCAAAGCTTAGGGGCACAGATCTTAACTTTCTGGAGTGCCTAGAGCAGTGGTGGCAAACCTATGGCATGTGTGCTGCAGAGGGCATGCAGAGTCCTCTCTGTCGGCACATGAGCCAAGTTGCCCCAGCATCACCCCAGCAGCCGAGCACTGGATAACAGCGCACATAGGGGCAATGCGCATGCTCGGAAAGGAGTAGTGGTGCCAGGCGATGATGTCACGAGCCGCAACTCATTAGCTGTAACTCGTCCGAGCTTTCGCATGGCCGGTCAGTGCGCTGCCATTTGCTTGGACTGACTGTGAGTTGCTTTTTCTAAGCTAAAACCTCGGTATTCAGGTTTTATTGCAGCGT